TGTAAGGTAACACAAATAATACGTCGACACTTCCGATCATTAATAACATATAATCGTAATCAAACAATACACAAACTGTGTTTACATGTTGAAAGAACATCAATAACAATTTGACTATATATTCTCTGTACAATACTTAATGAGAGGCTGGTGGCAACTGCCTTACTTCTGCGTTTTTCATACTGCTCGGGCTTTCGTAACCCAATACTATAAACTATTTTGTCTATCAATACATTCATACGACCGAATAGCTTTGATGACCTCATGCCAATTCCTTGGTCAGCAGAATCCCTTACAATTGCAATAAAAATTTCACAATTTTTTTCCTTTCAAACAAAAGAAATTGTCACCACATCTCTTGGTGAGGCGAAATGTTTATCTAAGGCTCTATAGAAATTGGAACCGTTCTCGCTTCTTCATACTTATCGAGAAACTTTATAATCTGGTTTTGTTCGGTTCATAGAAAAAACAGGCCACAATTTTGAATATCGTGGATGTTATTGGAATTTCATTACCCTCCATGATTGTATTTTTAATTGTATTGTTTTATATTTTATATTGTTTTAAAAAATTTTATTACACACAAGTAAAATTGTTTACTAACTGGCTTCTTCGTTGCAATACCTATCACACGAAATATAATTACTTGCCCGAAAGAAGAACTGTCGCATAAGTTATAAAATGAAGTCGGGGCCCATGCTCACAAATCTGTAATAAGTCTAAACAACAAAAGGGCATTATTGTGTCAGATATTTAGGTAATTATTTCTTACTCTGTTATTGTTAAGGTTTTAAAGAGAGAATACTATAGCATTGTTTCTAAAACAATCCAAAACAGTTTCCAACAATCAAGCGCATGCGCATTCCGATATAATGCTTACATAAGGTTCAAAATTCATTGTTTCAAATCACTAGGCATAAAGCTTCAGGTATATATTTTTTGATAAATCACTGAAAGTTCATTTTCGCAGATCCAATTCCAATCAATGTGATTTAATAAATAAATAATTCATTTGTGAGTATAACCAGCACAAATCGGCATAAAAAATAAACAGCATAGTTTTTGGATCTTTTAAGTCGCCTATAAATTTTAAGGTTTATGTGTTTACTTGAATCTTCATCCCAGTCATAAGCTGGGGAAAGGTTAAGTTGACGTCTTCAAGATGGCGTTTTGGCATGGGTTTCAGAATATAAATATTTAAAAATGTGTGTTTATAAAATTACTTTGATGATATCTGATGACGTCATTTTCTCTTACTCTCTCTTCACTTGATATGTTATATAATTGAATTTATGAACGCACCTCACTTCTAAATGAAATTGAGTGGTTGTTCCCCTGTTTTATGTTTTGTGGTTTTCCGTGGAATTGATATTTATTTCGTTTTGAGTTGGAAGAATGGAAGATCGTTTGTTTATTATTGTTATAGATTACAGAGAGTTGATTATTATGGTTTCCTTTGTGGTTTGCCTCGTCGCATTTGTGAATTTCTTGTAATAATGTGATAGTAAAGTGATAGTGTTAATACTGATAATCATGATGGTGACAATTGTGGTTGAGTACGTGGAAAATTGGGAAGGAATTTTCCAAAAGCTCTTTAGTACACCCATAAGCTGTTGAAAATTTGTTTCTACGTGAATGTACGTTTAGTAGTGGTGGATTTTGTGGCTCTTTTATTTCGGAACAATGATTTGCAGTTACGTCATTTAATTCTTCACTTTGAGGTAAGCAAAAGAAATTCCCCTGTATAAAAAATGTTTTTACTACATATTTCCGTTTCGAATATGTTTGGGGAACAAAAATGTGGACTTTGTCTGCACAATAATTAAAAGCCAGAGATATTTTATACCTTGGCTAAAATACTTGTGGATTTCGAACATTGACAAAGTATTCTTTTGCAGGATTCCGTTCTGCAGGAAAATGGGCGACAAATACAAGAAAAATAAAGGGAGTGCCGGCTTAGAAGGGATACAATTCCAGTTAGACCTACTTATCGTCTTTTTGTTGAACGCTTTTCACAGCCGTAAGGATTGGAAAATTTCCTCGGAGAATCAAGATGCGGGAAAATACGACGACCTCGTTCTAGAACTACCCGACCAAAGCGTTTTGCTGCAGGCCAAATCCAAACAAAACAGGAAAATCAACAGGGACCAACTCTTTTCGAGCAACTCTAAAAACGTTGACTTTAGTCTAGCGAAGTACTTTTTGTCGTATCTTGAGATTGCCCCCAAATTTAGGAAAAAGACAGTTATTATTTGCACCAACACCGGGATAGACGAGAATGGCATGAAGAAGGCTTTAATCCCACATTGTGTGGATTCTAACAGTATGTTGTATTACGAGGGGGCTAAGTGCCAGTTTTTTACGGTTAATAAAAGTGTCGTGTCCGAATTGAAAGCCAGTGCAGAGGATTACCTCAAAAAAAATTTGCAAGGCAAAGGTATTGACGGAGCGGCGATAACGGAAGAAAACGTGGAGGAGTTCCTGGAGAATTTACAGATTTTCTGCAATTATCCCATCGGAGAGCAGCTACACAAGATCATCGATCAGTTACTGTCTCGCTTGGATCTCTCCAACCTGTGGTGTGAAACGTCGTACCACGAAATCTACAGGAAAGTGGAAGACTGGTTCAAGCAACCGAACGGTGAATATTTGACGGAATGCCGGGTTAAGGCCATGCTGTGCGAAATAAAGAGTGAGAAGTATTGTGAATCGTTAAAAAACTACAATGTGCGGTTTGAACGCAACGAGATGAAGTTCGCAGAATCAAGTAGAATATTTCACGTTAAGACTGACGGGGGGTGTTTGTTACCGACATTGAAAATATTTTGCGCTTTACAGAGTGATAAAAGTAACAAACTTTATGTGAGTCCTGAGGAATCTATCAAAGTGCAGAAGCAGATAGTAGAAGCATTTGAACAACGCCGATATACCTACTTGATAGTGATTTGGAACGAAATTAAAAACAAAATCGCAAAAAAGGAAATGAGTCTGCTTTTGAAGGCAATATTGGAAAGAGAACCGTACAAAAAAGTTATATTGGTAGCCGAGAGCAACAGCGAACTAGCTCGACACATTGGATTGACACATATTTCACAAGTCGACGGATCGGAAATGTTCGAAGACCTCTCGAAGGATTCTCGGGAAAAGCTGCTGAGGAGGAAAAACATAGTTTTCCAAGGTAAAACGATCAGTGTAAAGGAACTGCTAGTGCCGCATACGACCGAGGATTACGCGAAATCTTTCGACAGTGCAATGTTAGAGAAGCTAATCAGAGGAGAGGAAATTAAAGTGGGGGCACCGCCTTTAGATTTGGACGATACCGCTTGGTACTATGTAACTCGTGTTTTTGAGAGAGACATCGACGAAACGCAACAGGAAAGCGAAACGTTTTCAGAGGAAAGTATTTTCGACGTATCGGAAAAAGTGATAATAATATCGGACAGCGCTGGGATGGGCAAGAGCACCGTTCTCACCAACATGGCGGCTTGTATAAAGGCAAAATATCCCCGTTTTTGGGTGATCAGGATCAACCTCAACGACTACACGAGATTTCTGAGAGACTCGCTGAAAAAGAACAAAAAAACGATAAGTGCGACGGAACTGTTGAATTCTCGAGAAACCACAAAACTATCGAGTCGTTTCGAAAGGTTCGTTTTTTCCATGAACGAAAAAGTAGTTCTAATGCTGGACGGGGTCGACGAGATCAGCCCCGAGTACACCGGTCTGATACTCCGTCTGCTTGGGCAGTGCCGGGAAGCTTCCAACGTAAAAAAAATATTCGTGACTACGAGACCCCACATGGCTTACGAGTTGAGAGCGGTCTTAGAAGTCGGGCTTTTCAAAATGCTACCGTTCACGAGATCCAACCAGATAGATTTCCTTACAAGATATTGGTCGTATAACCTGCGGTTGGACGGTAAAGGAAAGGATAAAGTCGAGTGGTACGCTGAAGATTTGATAGACGAGATGTCTTTGTGGATGCAATTATACTGTTACGGGAAAAGACCCTCGGAAAACCCCTTCGCCGAGATACCGATGCAGTTAAAGATGGTGGCGGAGATTTTTCAAGGAAAGTGTGGCGAGTATTTAAACGGAAACGGAATCGAACCTAAACTGCTGGAAGGAACTAATCTCGCGAAGTTGTACGAGGCGTTTATCGAGAAAAAACGTGACGTCTTCGTGGACAAGGGGAATCCTAGCGGAAACGCCGCAGTGAACAAAGCACTCGTCAACCAGTTTGAAGAATGCCTTGCTTGCCATCGCAGGCTTGCCGTGCAAGTAATCGTGGATAATACGGATGCAGAATCGTTCGGACGTTACCGCCTAGCTACCAAAGACGTGGAAAATCTGATGTTGAACATAGGGATCATACAGAGATTGGGCGACGGTTTCCAATTCGTTCACAAGACGTTCGCTGAATACTTCGTAGCAGAATATATAGTACGAGAGATGCAGCTACGGAGTCTAAACGTTGACTTCCAGAAGTTCTTGCTCGACAAAATCTTACAGGATAGCAAATATGGGGTGATTTGTGATTTCTTAGACAGTTTACTGCAAAAGGTCGTACACTCTTTACCTTCTAACGTCTTCGAAAGTTATTACACCTACACGAGCGACGGTGCAGACAGGGGACGCCTCGTCTTCCAACTCTCGAAAGGTGGTTGGGTGTCGATTCTTCAGCTCGTTTTAAAAAGCGTGGATTTTAAAATCATCAGAGGTAAAAAAATCAGTGTGAAACACCTCAAACGGAAAAAGAGAATTAACACTTTAAACGATTTACGTTTCCTTGTACGAAAAGCCGGAATTAACATCACCAATGAAAGTGGCGACACCCCGTTGCACAACGCAACGGCAAACTGCCACTTGAACATGACGAGGTTCCTCATCGAACAAGGTGCGGACGTCAACATCGGACACTCGTTAGGCAACACGCCTTTACACGTCGCGACCATTTTCTGTTTCTCGGACATTCTAAAATGTCTCGTGGAGCGTGATAGTGCAAACGACAAAGACGATATCGTAGATTTTAACGTACGAAACAACGAAGGCCACACTGCCCTCTACTTTGCCGTCGAATCGAATACCTTGGACACTGTTAAATATCTCGTGGAAAAGGGCGCAGACGTTACAACAAGCGACATTAGAGGTCGTACGCCGTTGCATATCGCCGTTCACGAGTGTAATTTAAAGACTGTCGCTTACCTTGTAACACACGGAGCTGACGTAAACGTTAGGGACAACAAAGGACATACGCCGTTGTATGTGGCTGCTGTGAGTTGTGAGTTGGATGCAGTGGAGTACCTTGTGGGACACGGAGCGAATGTTAACATAGGGGACCATAAAGGTCGCACTCCTTTGCACGTGGCCGTTGATAGATGCAAGATGGACGTTGTCGAGTACCTTATAGCCTGTGGTGCAAATTGTCACGTTAGGAATAAAGACGGGCACACGGCGCTACATTTAGCTGCGTTAGCCGGTGGATCGGGCCTTGTTAAATTTCCTGCAGTGCTGGAAGTAGTTGGTTCAGATGACACTGCGACCAGCGACCGTGAATTTTTTTAACAAATTTATGTCTGCTAAATAAAATTCTTACGTTTTAATATTTATGAATTTTTATTTTTTTTTAAGTTTAATGGTGATAAAAATTGATGTTAATTATTTTTTTTATTCTTACATACTGACTGCCTAATAAAAAGCACTAAGCTATAACTCTACTATTTTAGTTGGTCACTTGGGGTTTGAAACTTCATAAATATTAAAAAAAAAGAATTAGCGCGACATTTAAGGTCATGACAAAGAATACATTTTTTGGGTACTTTTGTCCAAAGTACATAACGTCGAAAATCGATCTAGTGAAAATAATTCTTCATGACTCACATATTACTAACGTGACAATGTGTACTATGGGGTTGCCTATTTGGCGTTTGTGACGTCGCTACTAAAAAGGTCTATTGCAGCTTTGGTTTTTCTATACCTAAGCCTAAGAGTAAACTATTAACATAAATATTTAACTAACGAATTTCCACACCCGTTTCTTGAACTTGAAGGTCTCGTCTTTGATATATTCTTTTCAAGTTGCCTAGATTATGGTTCCTATTTGGCATTTTATAAATATTGAGAGGTTATAAATAAAAATATGTATATATTACTTCTCTCTGATTAGCGATTAGTTTGATTTCTAATTTTTCCCGATTGCTTGTTGCTTGCTCGATGACAGCTAGGTACGTTATATTCAATGTCCACTACCGTTCCCTAACGTCTGTACGTTGAACTAATCGAACCACCTGTCAGTTTCCATGTGTACAAAACCAATCTCTACAAACTTCTGGTATTGGCCACCAGATGTCGCTGTCTAAGTATTCTAATCATAGATAAGATATACTATTTAAGAAATTCTAATATTTAAAATAAACAATTTTCACCCCTGATAAGTATGCAACTCTTAATGCGTTCTCGGTAAAGAAGGTTGCTAAATTCGAAGCACCCTGCTTTAATTACACATCTCTACCGGTAGATGACTGTGACATCAAATAAAATTTTGTCACTAAATTGAGGGAGTAACGTATATGGAGTAACGCTAACAAATCTAACAATATTCTCATAAGTTAAATAAAGAAGCACAACCTCTCTATCCTCGAACAAAGCGCCGGTTGACAAATCAGAACTGAATACAGTGAATATATGGTTGTATAGAGATCTGGACCGATAATAACTATATGCAACCAAACATACACTTTGAGTTCAATGAACTTTTTATGCCGGGCCGCGCATTTTTACTTGTCTTGTTCTTTATGTATTAGAACAATTAACGATTAGGAAAAATAATCCTTATATTTTTATATTTTTGTCGTATGGAGTATAAAAATTTTTTTGTGTAATTTAATTTTAAGAAAAACTGTAATAGCTGTGCTTTATTTACTTGAGAACTAAGCTAATCTTAGTTATTCTCAATGCTGATTGGTCAATCTCGGGTAAATAACACACGACTATTTTTTCGCTCCGTTGTGTCGGTGAATCACCGAGTGTGATTCTCGGAGAAGCTTTACTTTTAGTGATTTGGAATTCAGCCCCAAATTCAGTCGTATTCGTGGTATTCGTATTGTCCTAAAGGTATAGCATTTTTTTGCAAACTTGAACACACTTTTACCAGAACTGACGGTACGAAAAATATGGATATTAATGAAGATACAAAAATTCGGAAGTTCCGGGCGATGCACATTCTGGAGAAAGTGTTGGAAGAATTGAGATTTGAAGGCGGTAATAAGATATTTTTAACTCTTCTAGAGAAAATGTTGGGCTTTAATGACGGACCGACACATATAAGGTTATAATAATGTTTTATGTTAACGTACTACCTACATCAATCAATTTATTTTTAAGCCCTCTTCGAAGAGACATTGCAGTTATATTTTTGGAGGAAATGGAGAAAAAGTGTACTGAGGATATTGGAACCATCTACCATGATTTGGAAGGTACGACAGATTAGTTACTGCTACTGCTGCCAATAAAAAGTTGGAATTTTTTTCAAAAATATTTTTAACAAAATTTTAACGCAGAAATATTTTTGTCTTTTTCAATGTCAAAAAAACTAGCATTTTTAACATTTTTGCCCCAATGTCTTACACATTTCATTAAATAGAAAATCAAATTTTTTATTTTAGATTTATTCATGCCGAAGAAGTTGAGGCAGATCACTAGAGAAGTGATACAAATCAAAGAGATATGTGAATTTGGTAAGCGATATAATTCTTTATAAATAATCTGCAAGAATCAAGTTTCTTTCTATCTCCGATAGTTTCTGATCCTGAAATTCGACCAAGTTTGTCCCATTCTGCGCAGTATTTTATTTTATCGAAGTTAATTTTATTGAAATTTCTACAATCATCCATTTTTAGACAGAGGTGCTTTTGGGATCGTATCTCTTGGAGAATTGACCAGATCCGACGGTTCGGTGCAAAAAGTTGTGATAAAAAAAGCCGGAAATAAAAAACACGAGAGTATGCTTCTCAAGGAAGCCAAAGTTATGGTCCAACTAGACCATAAGAACGTCGTCAAATTACTAGCTTTTCAGAAAGGTAATTTCAAGATTGTCATGGAGTACATGGAGTGGCAAAGCATCGATGACGCTGTACAGGCAAGTGTCAATTCTGTTCAATAATATGCATAATTACATGAATGAGTTCATCATCGCCTACTTAGCGTTTTGTGGAAAGGAATTATAAACGGTGTTACACACATATTTACCTATGCAAGATGATTTTTTAAATCTCTCTGAAATTATTACGCAGGTTGTCTGATTGATGTCAAATGTATTATTGTTTCAGATTAATAATTTTACAAAAACAGACATTTTGAAAGCTTTGCACGACGTGGCCTCTGGAATGGAATATATATCCGAAAGGAAATATGTCCACAGGGATCTGGCTTGCAGAAATGTCTTTGTAGATTCCAACAAGGGCTGCAAAATTGGTGATATCGGTTTGAGTCGGTACATTGGACATTGCGGCAATGAGGAGATCAGGGAGAAGGTATACAGTATGTGCACAATGTAAAATAGGACTTTTTCAATTTTGTTTTTATCTTAATTTTATTTGCATTCAAAAGCTAGAGCACTTTATATTTTTTACAGTTGTGATTTACAAAAAAAAATTATTCTGCAACCAAAATTCTAAAAAACTAATTTAATTCACAAGTCTGTACACATTAAATTTAGGAGTTAAAGCCATGGGGAGGTTTCCATTTTAACTAATCGACCTACTGCTAAGTGACCTAGAACATGTAGATCACTTAACTGCGAATCTGTTACATATTAAAAAATTAACAAAATCATATACAGTAGGTAATTTCATGAAAGGTCAAAGATAAATATGACCCTATTCAAAGTTACATATAGCGTTCTTTTAAGAAAGAATTTCTTAGAAAACACCGTTTTTTTAATAGGTTTTGTTGAAATTTTTAGAAATATCTTCTAACCATGTACAACACAGCTCCAGAGGCCATGGCGCTTCGAATATTTTCAACGAAATCCTATGTGTGGTCCTTTGGAATATTAATCTGGGAATTGTACTATACAATGGATGATTTCTCATTTTTGAAATACAATTTAGTTAACACAGCTGTGGAATTTTTTCGCGAATGTGGAATGTGAGTAAAATCATAACCTTAAAATTTCGAGTATTGCATAAATTCATTGGAAACCAGTGTGTGTCTGGTGATTCTACTGGTGAATGATCTTTTAGATGCTTACTAAGTATTGCAGGTGTGCTGACAGAGTATGTAGCCTGCACTTGTTTCCTGCCATAATATTGTTTGTTCAAGTTTATTTCACCTACTGCGGCACTAGTCATATTTCATTGTACCTACAGATTAGTAGTTCTGTGTAACAATGACATATAAGATATAACATACTTTATAGGTTATATCTCACTTCAACTAACATTAAATTGCACCAGCAATATCTAGTAAACAGTTGGTAATAAATAGCCATACAAAAACATATCTGATATACTGAAACTGTTAAATAAGAATCATTTAAAGAAATATCTTGTATTTTTGTGGTTCTCTCATCACCTTTCATCACCTCGTCAAATTGTACAGGAATTACCGAGATAACAAGGCGAACGTCTCAATATTTTCAGTTTGGGACGTCCAAAAACATGTCCACAGTGGCTCTACTTGTACGTCACGGATGCAATTTTGCTTGAAGATCCACGCGAGAGACCGAGCTTTACTGCCATCAGAGAGAAAATAGAGGAAATGTTGACATCTCCCACACCTCCAGAATCTTCATCCAGTGAAGATAGTGGTGACAGCGACTATAGTTATTGCTATAACTATAACGACAGCGAATACAGTGACTAAGTTGTCTGTAATAACGTCTAAACAAAAAATACAAAAACTAAATTTACTAATTTTAATTACTAATTCGATGCAGTATACAGCCTCTTTAATCTTTTAAACATGTTATGCATATTATGTTTTCTTTTTGCTATTAATTGTTTACACTATATTTAATTGTTGTATAAAATGTATGTTTATATTGGACAAAAAATAAATTTTTAAAACTTTTTTCTAATTCAGTCAGTTGTACATACTCAATGCCTTTAAACGGCCAAACTGACAGAGAGCAACCTGCTATTTCACAGGTACTGTGAAAACGTGAAAATGATATTGAGACTATACTTTGTGAATTAATGCTTTGACCAACATTCAGTTGCTGCCCCAATAAAATATGTAATTATGGGTATAATTCAGTGCTGGTTGGATCATTAGTCCGTAATCGTTTCTCACAACATAAGTTTAAAAATACCCTCGAGGTTCTTATACATTTTGAAAATAAGTAGCTTTTTTGGAAAATTACAACTAAAAGTTTAGTATTGTCAAAAGTTAATATTTTCAACTTTACATTGTAATTAATGAATTATTAATTAGGTTTTTTGACAAGTCTATAAATTCAGGATCTAGAACTTTTAAAAATATGATTTTTTACTACTACGGTCTTTTGTTTTTGGATATTTAGGAGTCATTTTTGAAAATACAGTTTTGGTCGTACCTTCTACAAAAAAATATGTCCGTGTTAGTTTTGGACTATCATAGAGGTTTCTGGCGAAGTTTTCCATAGGTTAGGTTTTTCGTCTCATCATACATAAAATTGCAAAAAAATACATCGTTTTCAAGAAGTAATGCAATTAACTGTGCTCTTTCTCTTTAAATATTAGAAAGTGCGTTCTATCAATTCATTTTTTCGGGACATCTTGCAAATAATTATTGAGCGTCTAATAACGGAATTTTGTCATTAGTCTTATCTACTCCGACGGAATGTACGTGGATGAAAGAAAATATTTGAAAATGCGATATTTTAAGGATACAAAACAAATTAAGTTTTGACACCGTGTATCTCGAAAACGAAAGCCCGGAAAGAAAAATGGAAGAGGAAAAAAATGTTTCTTTTTTCAAGAGGAATTTACAGTTTTCAGTTGCGACACTTATTTAGGAACACCCTGTATGTACATTATGCCGATAGACGCTGAATATCGATGAATGCAGACTTTTTTTCTGTTTTGTGCAATGCAGCTAATGTCAAATGCAATGAAACATAGAAAGAAAACGGAGACACGGGACAGAAGTTAGAAAATGAAATGCCCCTATGGGAACACAAAACAAACAAATAGAAGTGTTAATGATTTGTGCAAACAGGCAGTGTGCCAGTATCAGAAACCTTGATTTCTTTTCCTAGATCTGTGACCAGTGCGTTCAAATCGTAGCATCGAATCACAGACTATTAGCGATTTCCATTGATGCACTGAGTGCGCATTCAGTGTATCTCCATCCTGTGTTATCTACAGTGATAATAAAAGATAGAAATATACGCTGTACGCACTCAGTGTATCAATGGAAATCGCCATATACTTAGAAGTGCATCGAATGCACTTTTAACTTATTTACCGTTTGCACTTGCCAGATGGCGTTAGTACGAAAAATAGTTTTAAACTAATTTTATTTTTACATGAGCTACAAGCAAAGACTAAAGCCAATTTATAAACTTTCCCGTTTTAGGAAATTGACTACATCGCACTTATATTCGTGGAATTTACCTCAAAATTAACATTACAGAATTTTTTTGTTGTTTGCACATAGCAACATACATTGCAACATTGTTTTAAATTGCCGCTGTTTACTGGTTATTAGTGTAATTTAATCTTGTCTGTAGGGTTAGATATTTGATAAGATTTTTTAGATAAAATGTTAGACAAGAGTAAAACGTATGAAAGATAATAGAATGTATATTTTTTAAAGTAATTTTTTTTGTTTTCAAACAAGACTAAATATTAAAATGACAGCATAGTGACCCAAAATTATGTAAAATTAAAAAAAATAGTACTCATGGCATGAATTAACTTTTGTTGGAAAAACGTTTTCTTCGTTTTAGAGAAANGTTCAAGTTTATTTCACCTACTGCGGCACTAGTCATATTTCATTGTACCTACAGATTAGTAGTTCTGTGTAACAATGACATATAAGATATAACATACTTTATAGGTTATATCTCACTTCAACTAACATTAAATTGCACCAGCAATATCTAGTAAACAGTTGGTAATAAATAGCCATACAAAAACATATCTGATATACTGAAACTGTTAAATAAGAATCATTTAAAGAAATATCTTGTATTTTTGTGGTTCTCTCATCACCTTTCATCACCTCGTCAAATTGTACAGGAATTACCGAGATAACAAATCGAACGTCTCAATATTTTCAGTTTGGGACGTCCAAAAACGTGTCCACAGTGGCTCTACTTGTACGTCACGGATGCAATTTTGCTTGAAGATCCACGCGAGAGACCGAGCTTTACTGCCATCAGAGAGAAAATAGAGGAAATGTTGACATCTCCCACACCTCTAGAATCTTCATCCAGTGAAGATAGTGGTGACAGCGACTATAGTTATTGCTATAACTATAACGACAGCGAATACAGTGACTAAGTTGTCTGTAATAACGTCTAAACAAAAAATACAAAAACTAAATTTACTAATTTTAATTACTAATTCGATGCAGTATACAGCCTCTTTAATCTTTTAAACATGTTATGCATATTATGTTTTCTTTTTGCTATTAATTGTTTACACTATATTTAATTGTTGTATAAAATGTATGTTTATATTCGACAAAAAATAAATTTTTAAAACTTTTTTCTAATTCAGTCAGTTGTACATACTCAATGCCTTTAAACGGCCAAACTGACAGAGAGCAACTTGCTATTTCACAGGTACTGTGAAAACGTGAAAATGATATTGAGACTATACTTTGTGAATTAATGCTTTGACCAACATTCAGTTGCTGCCCCAATAAAATATGTAATTATGGGTATAATTCAGTGCTGGTTGGATCATTAGTCCGTAATCGTTTCTCACAACATAAGTTTAAAAATACCCTCGAGGTTCTTATACATTTTGAAAATAAGTAGCTTTTTTGGAAAATTACAACTAAAAGTTTAGTATTGTCAAAAGTTAATATTTTCAACTTTACATTGTAATTAATGAATTATTAATTAGGTTTTTTGACAAGTCTATAAATTCAGGATCTAGAACTTTTAAAAATATGATTTTTTACTACTACGGTCTTTTGTTTTTGGATATTTAGGAGTCATTTTTGAAAATACAGTTTTGGTCGTACCTTCTACAAAAAAATATGTCCGTGTTAGTTTTGGACTATCATAGAGGTTTCTGGCGAAGTTTTCCATAGGTTAGGTTTTTCGTCTCATCATACATAAAATTGCAAAAAAATACATCGTTTTCAAGAAGTAATGCAATTAACTGTGCTCTTTCTCTTTAAATATTAGAAAGTGCGTTCTATCAATTCATTTTTTCGGGACATCTTGCAAATAATTATTGAGCGTCTAATAACGGAATTTTGTCATTAGTCTTATCTACTCCGACGGAATGTACGTGGATGAAAGAAAATATTTGAAAATGCGATATTTTAAGGATACAAAACAAATTAAGTTTTGACACCGTGTATCTCGAAAACGAAAGCCCGGAAAGAAAAATGGAAGAGGAAAAAAATGTTTCTTTTTTCAAGAGGAATTTACAGTTTTCAGTTGCGACACTTATTTAGGAACACCCTGTATGTACATTATGCCGATAGACGCTGAATATCGATGAATGCAGACTTTTTTTCTGTTTTGTGCAATGCAGCTAATGTCAAATGCAATGAAACATAGAAAGAAAACGGAGACACGGGACAGAAGTTAGAAAATGAAATGCCCCTATGGGAACACAAAACAAACAAATAGAAGTGTTAATGATTTGTGCAAACAGGCAGTGTGCCAGTATCAGAAACCTTGATTTCTTTTCCTAGATCTGTGACCAGTGCGTTCAAATCGTAGCATCGAATCACAGACTATTAGCGATTTCCATTGATGCACTGAGTGCGCATTCAGTGTATCTCCATCCTGTGTTATCTACAGTGATAATAAAAGATAGAAATATACGCTGTACGCACTCAGTGTATCAATGGAAATCGCCATATACTTAGAAGTGCATCGAATGCACTTTTAACTTATTTACCGTTTGCACTTGCCAGATGGCGTTAGTACGAAAAATAGTTTTAAACTAATTTTATTTTTACATGAGCTACAAGCAAAGACTCAAGCCAATTTATAAACTTTCCCGTTGCCGTTCTAGGAAATTGATCTACATCGCACTTATATCCGTGGAATTTACCTCAAAATTAACTATTACAGGATTTTTTTGTTGATTGTATATAGCAACATATGTATTGTTTTAAATTGCCGCTGTTTACTGGTTATTGTTAGTGTAATTTAATGCTAGTTGGGGTATCTAGCCCCTGTAATGTCAACAGTTATGAATCTTGTCTGTAGGGTTACATATTTGATAAGATTTTTTAGATAAAATGTTAGACAAGAGCAAAATGTATGAAAGATAAGAAAATGTATACTTTTTAAAGTAATTTTTTTTTGTTTTCAAACAAGACTAAATATTAAAATGACAGCATAGTGACCCAAAATTATGTAAAATTAAAAAAAATAGTACTCATGGCATGAATTAACTTTTGTTGGAAAAACGTTTTCTTCGTTTTAGAGAAAGATTTTTGACCAAGTGTGAAAATCATTTTGCTCAATGTTGTGAATACAAATACTTATTATTAAATAGACCTCTGCAAAGGTGGATATCTAGAAACTAAAAGTTCTTCAAAATTGCAAATACCACGTCCAATTTTATACATATTAGCGACATTTCTAATCCTCGAAATCTAATAACACTTCGTCATTCTAAATACTTCAAAATGGCCTACGATTTTTCTCAGCTTAAATTTTCTCCTCACAAATAAGTTTTAAAAAAATTGAAGGAGTAAAACAAAATATAATCAAATTATCGAAGTAAATGAAAATGTACCAGAAATTGTTTAACTTTTATAAATTTTATTAGATTTTTATAAAAAATGTGTTGGGGACATTTTGGGAGTTGTAGAATAACACGGTATTATTAAATTTTGGATAAAAAATTCCCTACGATTTCTTAAAAATCGACATAAAAACGATGAAGGCTTAATATTTGCACAATTTTGAGAAAGTTGTAGTTTCCCAATGTGCCCTTTTCGATGGTCTATTAGAAAAAAAAAAAAATTGTGCTTCATTTGTTTTTTTATATATAGCGTTAATGGCTCATACATCTATACAACGAAACACCCTGTATATTTTACAAAGGTATTTAACAAAAGTTTCAAACTTTAAATTAGATTTTTGCAATTAACAGCTTAAAGTCACAATTATACGGAAGATTCCAATCACTGCCGACGTTAAAAACGACGAAATAAAACACTAAAACTAATATATTTAAATTAATTACAACAATATCGATAAGCGTAGTTAAAACCCGCAGTATTCACACTCCTTCTTGGAGAGCTCCTCCTGCTTCTTCTCCAGCTCCTCCATTTTCCGCCTCAACTCCAGGCTCTTCTTCTGATACGTGATCATCACCACCTTGGTGGCGTCCTTCTGCGTCTTGCACTCGGCGATCTTCTGCGTAAGGGCTGCCGTCAGCGACCCCACCGACTGCTTGAGCTTCACCAGCTCCTTGTCCGCCTCCTTGAACTTCGCGTCTTGCTCTTCCAGCAGCTGGTCCCGCTCCTTGATGAAGAACCGGCTCATCTTCTTCTCCGTCAATAAGGATTTCTGTAGTTCCTCGTTGGTGCGTTTCGTCACGGCTAACTCCTTGCTCAGCTCGGCCATCTGCTGCTTCACGCTCGCAGACGACTTGACGCTGTTCATTTGCGACTGTTCCACGGCGTGTAACTTCTGTTTCACTTGCGCCAGTTCGTGCTTTTGGACGTCGTACTTCGCCGTGAGACGCGAGAGGTTGTGGGTGAGGGTGCCGCATTTTACGTCCAGGTTTCGGTGTTCCAAATCTCTTTTCCTCAGCTGGGCCTTCATCTTTTCCAGTCTGTCGGAGAAGTCCCGCCTCATCCGTTCCGAGATGTCGGATCTCGTCTGGTTCTCCTTTTCCGCCTGGCTTAGCCTCTGATTCAGCTCTTTTATCGTTTTGGTGTTTGCTTTCTCTTTCTTTATCGACTCTTGGACCAGGCAGTTCAAATCCGCGTTCATCTCTTCCAGGGACAGCTCCGACATTCTCCTGGAAAAAAAATAAACAAATAAAAAGTGGGAAACTGAGACAAAATTTTAGTGATAAACATCAATGAATATGTAATAAACAATATTTTTGAACTCAGAAATAAAAATAATTGATAATAACAACGTTCCCACTGATGTAAAAGTTTCAACTTTTTAAGAACTACTTTGAAAAAAAAACAAAAACTGTTGAAGTTTTTTAAGAAAACATACAAATTTTCATTTTTTGGGCAAAAATCCTAGAAATTCTTTTATGAAATGAATAATTTTAGATTTATTTAACAGCTTATTGTTTAATTGAAATCTTTTTTCTTAAAAAGTACAATTTTAAGTTTAATGCATTTATCTTCAGTATCTTCATCACCAATTGAAGGATTTGTTCAACAACCTAGTACTTAATTTAATCCAGATTTAATCGATCTGTACCAAAAATCTTCAGATGTTTCAGTAAAAGTAATATGTATATATATTTTTAATCTCAATTCCCTCTATTTCCAAAATCAGAGGCTTTAGAATTTAAAGTTTAAACCTCTTGAAGGAGAAACCGTTATGTATATTGTATATAAATGGAAAATATATTATTAATGGCAGTTATATTAAAAATAGCTCAAATATTTAGCTTAATTGGACAGTAACACATCGATTATATACTTTTGTAGTACAATTTAGGAAAAAAGACCTCTTGATCAAAGTAGGTACCCTAATAATTTGTAAAAGTTCCTTCGTGTCGAAAAAAAAAGACAATTTTCAATCAAACTCACATTTGTTTGACATCTTGTTAAGCCTGTCATAATCTTGAATTAAATAAATCATTCTTCGGTCACGTTCATTTATTTAAGTGAGGAATCTTATCTTTACTCAAAGTTATAATATGATTGTGTAGGCAAATAAACGATTTATTCCATTAAGAACATTATTTCCATCCCCTTCATTTAAATAAATAAATAAATTCAGTCCTCAATGTGAAGAACGATTTACTCTCGGATTTATTTAATTGAAAATTACGATATACTTAAATGGATGTATTACTTAAATAAATGTACCCTCGATTCAATACAATCACTTTTTCTGTATATGCTTTTTCTGAGTATTTACATCTTTATAGCTTTTATGTTTAGAAAGATATATTTTGCAAAAGGCCAACTTACTGCCATTTTTGCAAATAATAATAAATATTTTAGATGCTTATCTTCAAAATATATGTTTTTCTTTTCCACTTCGATAACTATTTATAGAAGAAGTGTTCTTTTAATCACTCATTTTACTCATCAAAAGCAATAATTTTCATATTTTTTTTCAAATAGTCACTTTTTTGTCTGGTACTTAAACAAACACCTACACATGGTACAAGAATTTATTTGAAATAGTAGTTCAATCGAATCGTACCACACAATACGGTAGCTTTGTCGGATATTTTTCAAATTGACAAGAAAGGGAATGTATTTTCTTTCTATTTCTAAGGTGCTGTTTGTTGTTCCTAATTGTTAATATGATTTAAAAAACATACCCAAGTTTTGATTATTATATCAGCAAATAATAAAAATATCTATACATATTTCCACCAAACAATAAACTGATTTTACATTTACATTCTTGACTCAACAAATCATTCATGAAATTATTATATTTTCATATGGTAACTTTCTACAAGTTAAACAAACTGGCCAATTTCTTGGTGAAATTTAGGACCGCGGACTTTTAAAATAACCATCAATCCCAGTAACACCAAACTATAATATACTTATAATTTGTGCTAGACTAGCTTAGCTGTAATAATAAAGAGGTATATATACAACATACTTTTGAAGTATTTAAAAAAAACAAGTGTCAAAATAAAACTCAACCAAGATTGGCACTATTGTTTTCATTTTTTAGCCAATTTATTGAAATTAGGAAGTTCACAATTTATTTGGAACAAAAATTGATCAGTTTTAAACAAGTTACACATTTTTTGATAAACATATAGTGCAACAAGTGACAAAAGCTTATACAAAACTTTATTGATAACGATATGTATTTGGATATTTTCATTGTATTTATTTTTTGCTTTTGACAATCGTGATTGTATGGTGCTTCATAGCCAACTAATCTCATTTAAGTGTTCTTTGACAGTATATTGTTTCATCACCAACTATTTTTTAGTTTTTTAAATACTTAAAAAATATACAGCAGGATTTATTTATGTAAGAATTACATAATTTTTGTCGCTTACCTCGCTCCCAACTCTGTCTGTAACGCCTTTTCCCTTGCTTTGACATCCTTTAAATCTGTCCTTAACTTTTTGATCGTTTTCTGTAAATTATCCCTCTCCTTCTGCAAGCGTAGAAATGATGTCAAATGGCTATCCGCAACTTTCAAAACATTTTTCTTTGTTTTCTTTTTCTAAAATACATTTAACTTGCAAATACCTTACTAAAATGATTTATTAATATATTTTACTTACATCGTTTGGTTTCTCAACATCTGGTGCCACATACTCAAAACTAACCAACTTTAATGGATCGTCAACTGGATTGTCCAAAGGCGTTTCACATTCTATTTTAGTACCGACATTTTGTATTTTATCTAACCTGTCAACCGAGTTATGATCTGGTGGGATTTTATATTCATTTTCACTTGTCACACTAAAATACTCGAATTTGTGACCCTCCTCGACGATTTCCTCAGCTGGTTCAGTCTTTACAAGGTTATCATCATCGGCCACTTCAATTTTTATGCTTTCGACGTCAGTCTCGGCTAACTTGAGAGGATCTTCTTCTTTCACTGTAACAGGTTCGAATTGGGTGGTGTCCGCCAGATACGCATAAGAATGTTCCAGTTTTATCCGTTTTGTTTGGGGAACGATCATTTCCATTCTAAACAAAGACTGTTCATTAATTTATGAGGAAATGTTACAGCAATACGACCGACATGCGTCGCTAGCACATAAAAATATTTCGATACCAGAGACCAGGGCTGTCAAAATCAGTAATGTCATTCAGTCGCGTCATCTACAGTAATTTTAATTAGGAACCTGAATTCTGAATTGTGTGATAGCGAAGCCATTGGTATACGCCCGATGCAGCGTTCTATTTGTACTAATCTGTGATGATCCTTCATTTGTTACATTATTTATATACAATATTTAAACAATGATTTGTTAGAAAAATATATCGACTTAAAACTAAGAATATATACTAATTTTAGGTTTAAAAATATTTTTAATGTACGAACATCTGTTCTATTTCCTCAATTTCCAGCAAACTAAAAACTTTTACGAGTTTAACAGATTTCTGAGAAGATCAATACAATTTAAATGACGTCACAGTTAATAATTATCTTAAAAACAATTGAATAAATGCATGATCAAACTGCAGAAACACTGAATATAATATATTCATTTAAACTATAATTAATATGTTTTATTTTTGTTTAATGAACTGGATTGGTAATCCTTGTTCATGAGCATGTACATACCTATCTAAAAATACAGCGAAAAGTATACGTCTCAATACATGACAGCCAAGTCCTTTTATATTTTGTGAGCATTCTTCTCCCCACTTTCAGCCTCCATGGTATTGATGTGTTTCCGTGTTCTTTCGTTTTCAATGAACTTCCTTTTTATTATTATTATTGATTGTATCTGTATTCAAGTATAAATATTTTTATTACGGATAGGAGAAATAATATGTGTTGCTTATAAAATGAAACTAAATCTAAGGAAAATACAATGACTTGTTGATCGAAACCTTTGTAATATAAATATAAAATATAAATTAGGCAACCAGTTAAACTTAGAGTTAAGAAGGCTAGATGGCGATACTTCCATGGCGTTGCTAGCCTAGGAAAAATCTAGACTGCGTCCAAGATCTTTATCTGATTTTGGACTGCGTCGACTGAGACTGCAAATTCCCAAATTCTTGGCCAACTTAGAAGGTCCAAAATATTACTCGTCTTCTACGCATGCATATGTCTGTACTCACAATCTATTCAGGCCAATATATGATTAACTGTTTTTGTGTTCCAAAGCGTAGTTAACTTCATTCTTGGCTGAAATTCTGTTGTCCTTTACAATAAATCAGTAATTTTTGTAAACTTGCCCTATTACATATATGACAGACTACGCCATCTAGATTTTTTTAAAGATTTGTGGTTCTAAAAGTCCCTAAATGAGGAACTTTGGTATTCTAGCACTACGGCGCCATCTAGTGGCTACAAATAGAATTGTGACGAAACAAGTAATGTTTTCTTTACGTATCAATAACCAGAAGAGAGTATAAGCAAATTTTCGTAAGCCATTCATAAGGTTTGTTGTTTTAGATAAAGGTTTTCGTTTTCCTTGTTATTTCTGCTACATATTATTTCACTTTAAATAGGCAGAAAATTTCACATAAAACAAATTGTATTTATATAAAATGCAATTTCGTATATACAGGGTGATTCACAACTTATCCAAAAATATTTGGGAATAAATGCAGCATGAGAAATGGAATCAATATCGTAAAAAAAATTTTTGTAAAATCCTTATAGTTTCCGAGAAAAAAAATATTGAAGTTATAGTACATTCAACCACTACATAGCTGGACAACTGTAGTCTCTAGCGTCATTCGCCACGTGGCCTCAGCGACTCCGAATACTGAATTCGGATTTTGCAATCGTCGTTGCGATATTTACCTGTTATCTGTGGTGTTTACAATAGGTTTTTAGTAGTTAGTGTCAAAAATGGGTAGTTAGTGTCAAAAATGGTTTGCGTGTACTCGGAGTTGATGGATATCGTTTTAATTTATGGTGAAGCATTTGTGTTATGGTGAAACAAGACAACATTTGTGTTAGTTCGTAGAAACTGAGTACAACGGACCCAAATGTGTTTACACATTGGTGGATAAAATTTTGAACAATTGTTGTAACATCGGGTATGTCAAATGATTTTATTATTTAAAAACACAAATTAATTTTATTAATTAATAAAGGCAAAAGCAGTTGAATTTGCCGATATAAAATAGGTGCGATAAAATTCTATTTACATATTTCTTTCCTTGCGAAAGTTTTTGTCCGTTTTTATCACACCGCCATGCCGGCCATCACATTGTGCGAGGTCAGGTTTTACAGTGGACCAGTTTCCAGTGCCGTGCAGAAGTGTATTTTTAAATCATTTTCGAACTGCCCTTTTTGATTTTTTCTTTACAAAATTGTATTTGTAAGGGTCCCCTGTACATCCAGAATTTTTTTTTATAAGTTCTGAATCACCCTGTATACCTAGTTCATTCCTTTCATTGATGTGATAGGAATAGAATAGAATAAATGCTTACTTTATATCGTTGACTGAAATGACTTCAATCAGCGCTTGTATTTGAAAATATACCATACCATACAGGGCGATTTCGACACAAACTAAAAAAAACGTGTTTTATAATAGGAATGTGATTGTGAGTGATTTCACTTAACTGACTGTAAACAGGTACCTACCCTAGGGTAATTACCCTATTGTATAAACATTACTAAACTGAAAAATACAATAATTATAAATATATTCTATGAACAATATTGCAGCAACAAAAATTTAATTTACGTATTATCTTTAATTGTTAAATATTTCGTATATCCAAACATATCATAAACATGTGAATGCTAATAACTAGGTATGTATAGGCATACAATATTAATAAAAGATGTTATAATTACCTAGTAGACGGCATGTATGTGCGCTTTGCTAATAAGTAGTTTAGAGTAGGTACTGTTCTTAACATGTAATATTCTATGTAAAACCTACCCTCAACAATAACGTCCACATTAAACATATTTACATAGACGAGATATCATGGAGGTAAGTTAAACAGCATTTTTTTATATAAAAAAACAGTTAAAATGAAAATTTTGGAATATATTTTATTACAATATAGAAAAAATCAAAACAAATGGGGTAATATTTTAAGTTTCTTTTAAAAAGTTGCATTTTCTACTAGGTACGTCTTTTCATAAAACGACTGAAAATTAAAAAACGATGAAATTATATGTGAAATATTTGAGAAAACTAAAAGAGAAATGACATTATTATTGCAAGCTTTACTTTTCCATCTGTTCTTCTTCTGTTAATCAAACTTATAGACTGTAATTTTTTTAGAACTTCAACCTGTTGGATTTCTTCGCAACCGAAAAACTATACCTGACCGTCGCAGGTTTCTACCCTGCCGAGTTAAGTCTGAGCCGATATCTCTACATACTGAGTGCCCTCGTTAACCTGTCCACATCCTGGTTGCAATTCCTGTCTCTTATCACTTTTTCTTACTTCAGTTTAAATGATCTGAGGAAGCTCTCCGAGATCCTTCTATTCTGCATGACACAGTTCGCGTTTCTCAACAAACTGACGAATCTGATCTGGCACAAAAGCAGTTTGAAGGAGCTGGAGGCGATGCTGCAAAAAACAGTTTTTACCAGCGTTAGAATTGAAGAAAAACACATTCTGACAAACCATCTGCAAGGCGGGAAATTACTAGCTAAAATGTACAGAGTGCTGTGCTTTTTGGTCGTTCTATTCTACGCTTTGTTCCCCTTTTTGGACGAGAGATCCGACAAAGGGCATACATTCCCTTTGCCCTGCTGGTTTCCTTTCAACGAAGGCGACTACTACTACCCGGTGTTCTTCTTTGAAGTTTGGAGCATCGCTATCTCAGCTACTGTTAATTCTAGCATCGACGTTTTGACTATCATGACGATGATACTGGCTACCGCCGAGTTTAAAATCTTGAACAGGAAACTGACCAATATTGCATCGTATTCGGGAGTCGACGGGGACTACGACGATGATGTCGAAGTAAGGAGTAGACTGGGAGAATGTATAATTCACTACGACGAAGCACTCAAGTGAGTAGATACAAATCTTGTTTTAATTTTATTTTCCGAAAAATATTTTTGTTTGTAGTTTGGTGAGACACATTGAACTCACGTTTTCAAAGGGCATTTTCGTGCAGTTCTTCTGCAGTGTTATGGTGATCTGCTTGACAGGATTTCAGATGCTAGTGGTATGTACAACTATTTACTAGTAATAATATGGTGCTTTTTACGATAATAGTAAAGGGACTTTTCATGCGGTGTACTATTATACAGGGTGATTTCAATTTAAATACAGAAACTACAGGACTAGACATTACCAAAAAATAAGTAGAGTTTGCTCTATAAACGTTTTACCTGTGGGACTCGGTATTAGAGATACATAATGTTGAAGTTTACAAAAATACAGGGTGTAAGATTAACAGCTTTCAAGATACAGCGAGTATTAATATTGGGGAGTTTGATCACAAAGTGACAACAGCGCTTAACCTAACGCTACACATCTGATGCATACCACGTGTGCAAGCGGTAGTGTGCTGATTTCAGCAGTAGGTACACAGCAGTCTTGTACAAGTGTCTTACTCTTGTGCAAGATTTTGCTACCAGGGTATATTCAAATATTTTCTGCTTTGCGGTTTTATGCCACAGGTGAATATCAACCAAGTGAGAGCCCTAGTATCAAAGGCGGCAATCTCCACCATTTCCACTTTTTGTTAAAGCGCAAAAAACTACTACACTCTTATTACTGCTTAATTCAAAGGAAGCATAGTTTCCAATGAAAGAAAATGCTAAACTACATTAGATTTTAAGGTTAATGTACCTAAATTTTTTATATTTTCTGAAAAAATGTACAAAAATAAATGGAGAATGCCGTGTTTGATACCAACAGTTGGATTTTGCAAGATTTGTTACCAAAGGTTGCACTAAAATGAGTTGTAAAATAAATACCAAGTATTTTGGAATGGACTTACAGACAAAAGAATAAAATATTAAAATTAATTCAACAAAACGTATAATCAAAAATAAAAAAAAACAACTAAATAATAATAAATTCCTAACTATCTGAAACAGCATGTCGTGTCACGTCACGTCATATGTTCGCTGTGAGCCATCTGATTGGCCAAAACGGATATTGCCGACTCTGATTCTAAGCGGGTAATGGAGATTGCCGGATTTGATTCTCAGGTGATGTTTTAATGCAGTTTTGTAATGGGATAAAGCCGCTTTTGATAATCGCAAACCATATATTTAGACAGAGCGCGAAAAACCGAAAAATATCATGTATTTAACTCGATTTCGTCAAAAAGTGGAGATTGCCGCCTTTGATACTAGGGCCCTCATA